GCCCAGGCTGGCCTCGAACTCACAGAGATCTGCCTGGCTCTGCCTCCCGAGTGCTGGGATTAAAGGCGTGTGCCACCACCGCCCGGCACAAATGCTTTTCTTTTGATCAGATGTAACTTGCCAAAAAGGAACCTCCCCAAAATTAGGGTTGGGGAAGAGTTTTATTTTGTTTTTTCAGGAGAATGAAGGCATACAGCTAAGGAATCTGAGGACCGCTGGACAAATGAGATATGAAGTAAAAGTACAAATCATCTAGAAAAAAATGTCCCAAGAAAAAGAGTAAATTAGCCTACTGGTATATCACAGCTTCAACAGGATAAAATTTCATAAATCATCCCAAATATTTGTTTCTGCTGTTCTCTGCAGAAACATAATGCAAGTGGTCTCTTTGTAGTCCCAGTCCAATTAAAAATTAAAGCTGGCTTTGGAGTTAGAGTGTGACTCTTTCCTTCTCTAAACCCAAGCATGCTTGTTAAAGTAAAATCCAAAATCTTTGTCTCATGTCAGAAGAGCCACTTGATATAGGAAAGAAGAAAAACAAAGATTAAGGGACTATTTTATTGCCACTAATTTCATAATCATTTGGTTTTATTTTAACTCTTTAGAGTTTTTCTTAAAGTATAAATATTATTCCAAAACTTATAAGATTAATATATATGTATATATTTTAAACTTTTTGTCATGATATTAATGGTCATATGGAGTACTAATTCTAGAAAAAGGCTTTTTCTAGCTTCTTGTACATGATTTCAAGTTTTAGTCTCTATCAGGAAACTAGGAATTAAGTTTTTGTATTCTGGATGTACATAAAAATATTGATCCTTTAACCCCTTTGAGATCTGTTGCATATGACATTTAAAATGTTTAAGTTTTCTGCAATGAACCATGACCACATCTAACAACGACCTTTGAAGTCTCCAAAAGGATGATAAGGCCCCACAATGATGCTTCCAAATGGACTATCATAATGCCACTAATCTGACAAATACAACCTAAAGATCAGCTTTGGACTACAAACTGCTCAGGACAATATTGAGGTGACTAGCTGAGATGATTCAGCCTCACAGACTGTTCTAGCCAGTACTTGAGACAAGCCCTCCACTTCCCCATTACACAGAGACTGGACAACAAATGATAGAGCTTCCTCTCCCAGGACTTAATAACTAACCCAAAATTTTCTTTTCAGGACCCCCTAAGGATGCCATCACCCCCAAACAGCAGGAAGTGAATTTAAGAACAGGATGCCCACATTCCCAAGAGATAGGTGGTTCTTGGTCTTTCATTGGGTTTTAGATATTTGTCATTGTTTAGGGGTGTTGGTTGCAAGTTGTTATTGGTAATGGTCAGGAAAAATCTGAATAAAGGAGATGAGATTCAGGGTTCTTGTTTTAAAAAGAAAAAAGGAAGATATAGAAATGATAGGATAAAGGGTAGATTATTGAATCTACTCTGAAAAGAAAAAAGGGGGATATAGATATAGCATAAAAGGGTAGTTAATTGAATCTACTTTTAAGAAGCAACTACTTGTTTTAAATATTTTATATTGATATGGATTTTTGTATGTTGATTAAAGGTTGAGATTATTTTTTGTAACAAAGTATTATCATGACAGATCTGATCATGTTTTTTTCTTTTTATCTTTATTTTTGTAAGATTGTGGGAAGCATTTGGAACTTTGGGCTGGGAAATCCATTGAGTGTTCAGAGCTTAATGAGTTGTTGTAGGAACTTGGAAAATCATGCTGAGAACAGTGCAGAGGATAGAAGTCTGGCTTGTGAAGTTTCAGAGGGAAATCAAAGACTATGTCAGGGCTATTCATGTGATAGTGTGAGTTAAAAATCTGCCATTTTGGGCAACTGGGGCAAGTACTACCCACAGTTGGCTGTGTCCTTTTATATCACTTATCAATCAAGACAGTTCTTCCAGATATGCCCACCGGCCCATATAATCTAAGCAATCCCTCCGTTGAGTTCCTTCTCAGATGATTCTAGGCTATGTCAATTTGACAATTAAAAATAATAGGACAGTACCCCCATTCATATGTAGAAAGTGTGAAAACCTGTGATTCCCTAATCCAAGAGGTAGGCCTTTCCCAGTCATCTAGCTCCTCAATCTTGGGCTCCTCAGCTCCCACAATAAATTTCTGTTGTTAATAAGCCACCTGGTTTATGATATTTTGTTACAGATATGCATATGGTGAAAGAGAGTTTAACCTTTTGTTTACCAAGAAGAAATTTCCTTGACTCCAAGAAAAAAGAGGAAAGTGTCAGAAACATTTTCACTAGACTATGAGGACCAAAGTCAGTCTTTACATACTAATATAGACTATCATCTTTAATTATGACTTGGAGAAGCTGAATTCTGCTGTCTTCGTTCTTTTAAAATGCGCACTTATGATCAAAGGGCTACCTTCCTTAAATAATTTAAATTGATATTCATTTTAAATAATGTAGATATTCAATATTAGGCATGAAAATGGCTTTTCGCTTTCATCTTTAGGGTTGCTGGTTGCTACTTAAATAAAAGGGTTTCTAAACAGAAATAACATCTGGCATGGTCCTTCTTTGGGAATGAGGATCAAGCATACGCTCAACTGGGAGCCTCCTGTGATCTCCATACTTCCCTGGAATGGAGCAGGTGGGAGGCACAGGGCTCTGCAGCTGCCTGGAGGGTCACTCTGCAAATCCTTCCAGCTGCTGGAGGACAAAGCAATCTGTTTCTGCTCTCCTGGAAAAGGGCAAGTGCCCTCCCTGACCCACCACAAGAATGGTTTGTAATGCAGCAAAACATTTAATGAATCATTAGACAAATACTCAAGAGTTCCTTTTAAAATATCTGCAGAAAAGATAAAGGATTCAACCTCTTTAAAGAGATGGGTGGGTCCACATGTCCTATTATAAGTAGCAAGCTTGCCTGCCTTGACTTTTAAAATTGGGTAAAAGGCTCAGAATACAAGCTTGACAAAGAAGTAGTAGGCTGCAAGGGTTCAGTTAACTACCCAAATTCTAGTTGTTTTCTCTTACTGTCCATATCTTTGTAGCACTCCTCTCTCCTCCAGCTATCCAATTCTTCTTCTTCTTCTTCTTCTTCTTCTTCTTCTTCTTCTTCTTCTTCTTCTTCTTCTTCTTCTTCTTCTTCTTCTTCTTCTTCTT